TTAAATTGTCCGTCCGTCTGTTCGTCAGCGAAGCTAAGCGCTCGTTCCAAAGTGTAGTTTCGAATGGAGAAGAACGAGCAAGAAACTCCATCGTTACTCTTTTAAGATTTTTTTTTGAAAGAGATTAAGTAAACAACAAAATTGTCAGAATACACATGAACGTATCTTATACTTCTTATACTATTATATAAAGCGGAAGAATTTGTTTTTTTGTTTGTTTGTGTAAAACTAAAAACTAAGAGCCGGAGCCCCGGTAACCCGTTAAGGTCACGGCTGGAATAACACAGAGACTAATCTTTATATCTCCAAAAAACCGCTGCTAAAAGCTAGTACTTAGATAATATTAACCTGGCATATTGATTTGTAACTGTTAGCTACAACCTATTTATTAAACACAAATGTTTAGCTTCCAAGTACATTCCCAACAATGATATTACGCATAATGGGAGCAAAATAGAACAATACACGCTCAATTGTTTTTCAGTTCATAGATAAGACAAGTCACCCAGCTTTAGTATCTACCTAGAGGCCAATAAACTAATTCATTTGTTCCTCATTTCATTGTATATTACTTGACCCCTTATTGTGTTCTGCCACTGATAATGTTGTTTTCCGAAATAGGATTTTTGTTCATGTTATCACTGTTATCACTTCAAGGTAACCTAACGGTACAGGGGATAAGTAAGCACAATGTCGTCATTGTCTGCAAAGATACGTCTATTAATACACAAAGACTTCATAAACGAGGTCTGCCGTAACCCCCACGCTAGTAGGGTCAAGAATTTATTTATTTATTTAAACTTTAATGTACACAGAAACAAGTAATGTTACATAAGGCGGACATTAATGCCATATGGCATTCTCTCCCAGTCAACCTTAGGGTTAAAATGGAAATCGGCGAAAAAATAGGCGAATTGCAGTAAGGTTATGTTAGAAAATGGTCCTGGTCTTACTTCCCGCACTAATGCACGTGCGAAATCTCCAATTCCACGTGTTCTTGCTGCGCTTAACAACCTCATGAAGGTCTACCCGGATTGTGACTTGTTTAATGATAAGTATAAGGCTGTAATGTCTGTTTGCCTGGTGTATTGTGAGCAGAACCACATATAAAAATGTTATTTTATCTCGGTTTCCAGATTCTGTGTACGTATATTGTTATTATTACTGTTATTTAATTTTAATTCTAAGTTTTATTGTATTTTGTATTGTGTATATTTTTTCTGTGTCCAACTTTATCTGTTTTGTAATTTTACTATATTTTCTCATTTTCTTTTAACACCTTTTTAATGTACTTTGATTTAGTTTTCTTTTTTTATATTTTTTGTAATTTAATTTGATTAATGTAATTGGTGTCTACCGTGTTAATCAATAAACAAATAAATAAATAAATAAATGGTTTTAGCACATAGTTACTACCTACGCAGGTTAATATATCATGTAAAAGTCACATTGGTACTTGCCGTTGGTAGGTTTCGAAGCCACACTTTCATGCATGAGAAGCGGGCGTCTTAATCCGACCCACCATTTAGAAACAGCCACTGCATTGTGCACCAAAATCAACAATAAAGCTCGATGCTAATCAAGGACGTATTGGATCACACAACGAAATAAATCAGAAGAAATCATTATCAGAGTGCCAAGCACGAATAACTATCGCTTTCGTAACGTAATAGTATCGAGCGCGTTCGGCGCTCTGATTGGCCGGCTCAAGTGAACTAACCAATCAGAACGCTTAACTCGCTCGATACTGTTACGATACGATTGCGATAGTAATTCGTGCTTGGGCCTCAGAGAACCAGAGTCTTTAGTACGAGTTTGACTTACGTTTGAAATATTCGAAACGAGTACGCGTTCGGCGCTCTGATTGGCCCGCGCCAATGAAGCAACCAATCACAGCGCCGAACGAGTACTCGTTACGATTACTTTAAACGTAAAACAAACTCGTATTAAGGCCTCAGTTTCAACTTTTCCGTTTTTAGTCGATTTAAAAAACTATTTTAATCCATATACATAAAAATATTATATTTAAGTGTAATTAAACGTAAGTTGTATCGAGAGTAACTGTCAATATTTTTTTTAATATCTGCTATAGATTTAGGGGCTTTTAGTCACAATACGACCACGCCAGCCTCATTATAAACGAATACAGGACATAACATAACATAACATAACATCACGCCTTTTATCCTCAAAGGGGTAGGCAGAGGTGCACATTATACCACTGTACAATGTAACACCCACTTTTCACTATTTATGTTATGAGTCCCATGTAATAGGGGGTGAGCCTATTGCCATATACCGGGCAGTTCCAGACTCCGTGCTACTACTGAGAATTTTTTAAAAACCCAGTAATACTTTGCCCGACCCGGGAAACGAATACAGGAATTAAACGCTATTCCGACTTAAAGACCTTATATACTATTTTATAAAGTAAAATAGCTGCATTCGAGACAGGCTCTGATAATATACTTTGAACAAAACCAACATCTATCAAATTAATTTTAAAGGTATTCATCAGCACCTCTCTAGCAGCTCAGGTCCTGACGAATTCCACCAAACTGTCAATAATTAATAATCGAAACAATGCCCCCTATTTTTTTTACCAAAGACAACACACATTGTCAAAAAAAGAATAACCCGTCGCGTCGTTGGCGCAGCGCAAAAGGGACCCTTTTTTTCGCGCCCCTGTTACTCAACATCCATGTTTTGTAAACAATCTGATGCTCAATTGAGTTCTTAATAGCTAAATTAGTTGACAATTCAGACGTTTAGGGGTGGTATACATTTTAAGGGATTATACTCAACCTTGTCCGAGGATTATACTTAAGATTAAAGGATTATAATTAATATAAATAACAATGTTTTTGTACGTATTGTTTCTTATACAATTACTTAAGCTATTGTTATTTTTTCCGCACTAGCGATTTTTTTAGGTTATGACAATCGATTCGATATTTTAATCTGTGTGTATCCGTTTTTTTAATAAGTAAACATCATTATTGTAATAAACTTAAGCAATGAGTTTTTTTAAACAGTAGGTATGTATTTCAAAAGTTTTGTATAAGTATATAGATAAGTAATGGTAAAAAATAGACATAGATAATGTAAAGATTAAAATATGTGGTAGGAACAATGAGGTAAGACCAGGGTTATAAATCACACAGCCACACAGTATAATTTTCGATAATTATCGATTGTAGAATTTTTGACAGTTTGTATCGAATTATTGTTGTTAAATTCAAAATTCGATTTTTAAATTTTAGTTTTTAAGGTTATTATTATAATCAAATGTGTAGTTACGAGGTAGTTAAGTTTTTTTTTTTCGAAATCTCACGTAACTGCCGCCGTCGGCAGCGTCGCGTAGCGTCGGAAAAAATCCTAAATAAATTAATTGTACCACAGAAAAATTGCTAATTTTACATCGATTTCCTTGATGTTTTGTCTCACAAAAATATTCCTAAATTAAACATTTTAGAGTAAAAGACAAAATTGATAGATTTTTTAGTTTTCAGAGCTTATTTTTTTTTAATTTTAACTAATATCTTGCTTGTAACGAATAAAATTAAAATATCCACAAATATGTAGATAATATTATTAAATTATTATATGAACAAAATAAAAAGTACCGTTACTCAAAAAATAGGTTTGCCCAATTATTTTATTACCTTTTACTGATTTCTAAACAAAAAACCACGGTATACAAAAAAAGCGGTTATTACGTTTTACAGTTGCATTGTTCAACTTCAAAAGGAAACGCCGGTAAAGTTAGTCGGTTACTTTGTGTCACATTTACCCAATAAAATTACCGCCATTAAGAATTTACCGCTATTCATAGATAATAGATAATAAGTAATATGATTTTTTTTATTGATTCTTTTTAAAAATGAAAAAAATCGGTTTTATATGATGACCTTTTTGGTGCAAGAGTGACTATGGAATTGCGGAGTACGTTGTGCGTTTGAAATTCGATATTTGATTTTATTTTTTTATTGACTTTTTTTTAAAATGAAAAAAAAAACAGTTTTATATGATGAACTTTTTGGTGCAAGAGTGACTATGAAATACGGAATACGTTGTGCGTTTGAAATTCGATGTTATTTGTTTTTATTTTCATACTGTTTGTCCCGATAAAAGCTAAGTCATTGACAGAAGCAAGCATTAAGTATCACCCACTTATACTTAAAAATGAGTACGTAAGTAATTCGATTTTTTTTTGTAAATTTTATTTTTATACGTATAATTAATACGTTTCGAGTTTATTTGAGGTTTTGTCTCGTAAATATTAGGCAAGTACGTTAAATTTATTTTTTACTACAAACACTGTTGTGAATAAGATTTTAACAACCAATAATATCGAAGAATGAAATATTTCTGTCCGTTTGTTTACGATTTAGTTGGCTCAAAAACCGCTAAGATTTTTTTTTTATTGTAGGTGCATTACAAAGATGTTTAACCTAAAATGGAGCTAAAATCAATAAAAACACCAACAGTTCATCTGTTGATATTATGCTAAGTCATTTACAGAAGCAAGCATTAAATAGATGTATCACTAAAAATAGGTACCTACGTAAGTACCTAATTCAATTTTTTTTATTGTGAACACTATTGTTTTATTTAGTCTCTTGTTTTTCTTTGTAAATTTTATTTTTATAGGTAGGTATATTTAATAAGTTTATTTGATGTTTTGTCTCGTAAATATTACGTTAAGTAAATGTATTTTTTTACTACAAACATTGTTTTTTTTAATCTTTATTTAATAATAAGGGCTTTTTTCTTAGAGAAAATGTCAGGCCTATTATAGTACAAACACTGTTATGAATAAGATTTTAACAACCAATAATATCGAAGAATGAAATATTTCTATACCTACGTTTGTTTACGATTTAGTTGGCTCAAAAACTGCTATGATTTTTTTTTATTATATGTGCATTCCAACGATTTTTAACGTAAAACGGAGCAAAAATACTATTAAAAAAAACACCAACAGATGAAATCAATACCTAATAAAAAAATAAATATCCTTACCGTGCTGTCTGTCATCCACTCCGTCACTATCAACCTCACTCCTCACGCTTCCAGGACTTGCCCTCTTCAGTTCCTCCTGCTGCCCTCCCTGTTCACTCTGAAACCCTCCCATCCTTTTATCGTAGCTCATAAAAAACGGAAAATTCGGGACCCGATTTTGTTGGTAATAATAATTTATTTTCCCATCTCTAACTTTGAGCTCTTCATCTTCGGAATGGTCATTAGTTGCGGAGTAATCCTGAGATATGCTGTTTTCTATATCAATTTCAGGCGATCGACGATCATTGATTCCAACAATCGATTCAATCGAGAAGTTCTTCGATGGTATTTTCGTCTGCATTTTGTTAATCTCCGATTCCATCACTACACTAACACTGGCCACTGCGCGATTCGAAATTCGAATTTGTATTTCGAACGTCCGAATGTCGGTTGTGTACTGAAGTTAATGTGGCGTTGGACCGACGTCGGGGACCACGCCTTCAAATGAGGGGAGGTTGTTCCCATTGTACTGTACAAGCATTCAAATTCCAACCATATCTTCATTTGAATAGAATTCAAATTCCTTTACATCTACATGAAAGTATATTCAATAGCATGTTATCAGTAACACAATTTCATCTCTATTTTGAAGAGTAAAGAGTTCTTTTTACAATGTATGTAATGAAAATGGATACGTATTATGATTTCGGTATAATGTGACAAAAAATGGCTACTAATAAATAATTTAAATAAATAAGTGCTGCGATGATGCGCCGTATTAACAGCTGCTATGAAAGTTTATTCGTTGTTCCATACAGACAGACCATTATTTGTATGATCATGGCTTATTTTATTGAACATTGGATTCTTCCTTAAACGGAATATAGCTATTTATGCAAGTACACATTTTGTATTTATTATATTATATAATTTAACTACCTACTTCCGGGCGGTTTCACACGCTCTGCTCAGCTCCTATTGGTCGTAGCGTGATGTTTTATAGCCTATAACTATTCTCGATAAATGCGCTATCCAACACAAAAAGAATTATTCAAATCAGACTTGTAGTTACGGAGATTAGCGCGTTCAAACAAACAAACAAAAAACAAACTCTTCCGCTTTATTTAATAGTATAAAGATAGTAATTATAGATACAGTATTTATAACTACTATCTTTTTTTTGAGGTCTCTCCTTATCGGGGTTGACCTGGTGAAAATGGGCACATTTATTTAGTTTTTTTTATTAGTTACTAGCTTTTACCCGCGGCTTCGCTCGCGTCACAAAAGGATAAAAAGTAGCCTATGTGACATATACCAATACATACAGCGCCATCTATACCAATACTTTTGTTTTCCCTCGGGAATATGAAATTTTTCCGGGATAAAAAGTACCCTATTATTTAATCCGGACTTCTAACTTTACGTCTGCAAAATTTCAAAGCAATCGGTTTAGTAGTTACGGCGTGAAGGCGAAACAAACAAACAAACAAACTCACTTTCCGATTTAATATTAGTAAGGATTTATATTGCTTATTTTCCATATTACACAAGCCTATTTTCGCCCATAATCTCTATATTTAACCCAAAGGTTGACTGGGAGAAAATGCCATATGGCATTAACTCGTCGAGTACCGGTTTTATAGACACAATTAAAGAACAATATGTCGCGGTCACCGGTGACCGCTTGGTGTTTGACAGTTTAAGTCAGCTTTGTGTAGGTAAGTACCTTATTTCATGTGCATTAAAGAGTTAATAAATAAATAAATATTATAGTAACTATAAGTAGTTTATGCCCGCGACTTCGTACGTATAATCCCGCGGTCCTCGTTGATTTTCGGTAAAATAAAGTATCACTGCCTCGTTGGCCGAGTGGTCGCATGTGCGCTTGCCGGGCAAGGGGTATCGGTATTAATTCCCGGGTCGGACAAAGTACCTATTACTGAGGTTTTAAAAAAATCTCAGTAGTAGCACGGAGTCTGGAATTGTGCCCGGTATATGGCAATAGGCTCACCCCCTATTACATGGTACTCATAACATAAATAGTGAAAAGTGAGTGTTACATTGTACAGTGGCATTAAGTGCTGTAATGTGCACCTCTGCCTACCTCTTCGGGGATAAAAGGCGTGATGTGATGGTAACTCGCGACTTTTAGTTAATTTAGTACGTCTCACGATAGTTATTATCTAACACTAAACTAACTCAACTGTAAGTACATCGATTATTTTTTTAAAAGAATGCTTGAGGCGTGATCTACAGTCGATACAGAAACCAAAAATTTGGTTTTTAGAATTTTTGTCTGTTTGTCGCTTCATGGACAATTATCATTTGTATTTGTAGTGGTTGTGAAGGATGAACAGTTACCTGCCTGCTATGTTACATGTCATGACATACGGAGCCGAGACGTGGACACTAACAGTGCGACTGGTCCACCAATTTAAGGTGGCGCAGCGAGCTATGGAGAGGGCTATGAGTATCTCTGAAGCAGTGACGTTTTTTTTTTTTTAAAGGGGGAATATCATCGAATGACTGCTCCCGCCTGGGTGAGGCGGAAGGGAGTGTCAGACTCTTACTGACTAAAAACCACCCCGTTCGAGCCCCGGTTACCTGTTAAGTTCTCCGCGACTCTGAATCGGCATCGGCCCTATTGGGCCCCATCTGTGGTGGTCTGATGGCTCTTTGAGGCGCGCGCGGAACGCGACGCGCCGTACGCTCGGGTGAAGCAGTGGCGTAGCGTGCCTTGGGGGGGCCCCGTATAAAAATTTGTTTGGCCCTTGAAGGGTAAACATTTCTCACAAGAGATTTTGTACATAAAATACTTATAATTTGTGTGAAAACCGAAAATCTTTTCAGGCAAATCCCTCTGCCCTTAATTACTTTAATTGGAGGACCTTAATAACTTTTATTTTTCTTAAGTTTCTGCCAACCTTTGAACGCATGCTTTACGCGGGAAAAAACGTTTTTTTTTACTTTTGTGATTACTGAAATAGAATGAAAATTGGGAAGTTTTTATTAATTTTTGCTTAGACACTGTACCCCTGTAGTCCGAGGGCCCTGTATAATTGATACGGCAGATACGGCGCTAGCTACGCCCCTGCTCTGAAGGGTAGGATCCGTAACGAGGTGATAAGTACGACAGAGAACTAAAGTTACCGATGTAGCCCAAAGGATTAACAAGCTGAAATGGCAGTGGGCCGGTCACATTTGCGTCACCGATGACCCCGAGACGTGTTCTAGAGTGGAGACCGCGTCTAGGCAAACGTAGTGTAGGGCGCCCTCCAGCTAGGTGGAGTGACGATATACGTAAAGTGGCTGGTAGTGGTTGGATGCGTAGAGCTGAAGACCGAGCTCATTGGCGTGCCATTGGAGAGGCCTATGTCCAGCGGTCAAGGGCGGATCCACCGTTGTGGGCACGATGGGCATGCCCACAACCTTAATAGACTTGTGACGTCACCTTTTTACGGTCTATTGAGATCGATAGGCTGATAATAATGAACCTTAATAAAATTAAAAAAACACAATGAATCATGTAACGTGCGTGATTTGGAACGCAGCAAAGAGTCATAGACGATATGCTGACATGTTATTACTTATGTCACATTTTTGACAACTTATTGCCGTGCCGCCAAAACTTCGAGCCGCGTAGCGAGGCGTCTGTGGCGCTACTTAATGAGGATGCTTAAAAATTTTGAAACAATAATGTCACTTTGACATGCTCTGTCAAAAATATCCACATAAATATCACAATAAAGCTGGACCTAACGTCTACGTAATGCCATCTAGCGGATTTGCCGCGCCAGATAAGTGCGTGGCGGGATGAGCTCCGGCGCGATCTCATGGCGGAATGGCAGCAACGACTGTCGCAACCGAGGGCTGGGCTCGCTGCCATTGCAGCGGTAAGTCCCCTCTTTGAGGAGTGGCTTGAGAGACGCTACGGCGTCCTCACCTACCGCCTGACGCAGGTCCTCACCGGACATGGAAGTTTCGGGAGGTACCTGTGTCTGATGGGGCGGGAGGAAACGCCCGGGTGTCATCACTGCGAGGACCACCCTGAGGACACGGTGGAACACACTGTTGCGGAATGCCCTGCGTGGGCTGAGCACCGCCGTGCCCTCAGGGAAGTGATCGGCGATGGAGACCTCTCGCGTCCGGGCCTAGTGCAGGCCATGATGCGGAGCGAGGACTGGGATGCCGTCTCCTCCTTTTGCGAAGCAGTCATGCTGGCTAAGGAGGAGGCGGGACGCGTGAGGCAGCGAAGCGCTGCCTCCTCGCAACCCAGCCATCGCGAAGGACACACCGGGCGTCGGGGATCGCGGGACGATCTCCGGCCACCGTAAGCGCGGGCCTGCGGACGGCGAGCATGGGTGGCTCCCCGTCCGACCAGAAACAGACCCGAGCGTACGGCGCGTCGCGTTCCGCGCGCGCCTTAAAGAGCCATCAGACCACCACAGATGGGGCCCAATAGGGCCGATGCCGATTCGGAGTCGCGGAGAACCTAACGGGTAACCGGGGCTCCGGCTCGACGTGCAGGAGAAGGAACGGGGTGGTTTTTAGTCAGTAAGAGTCTGACACTCCCTTCCGCCTCACCCAGGCGGGAGCAGTCATTCGATTTCGATTTCGAGTCGTAATTTAATGCATTGTATATTGTTTTTTTTGTGTGTGGCTGGCTGTGGGTACGAAAAAGTTTATTTTTTTGGTTGGGAAGATTTTTTTAACATTTTCTAATAGATATCTAAGTATCTATCAATTAAATTAAATCCTACATCTTCTTTCGCAGCTATGCATCTAATATGTTATATAAGTTGTAACAAAACCAATCCGACAAACCCTAGGTACTTGCTTGAAAATATCGCGAAAAAAGTCAGCTGTTTCATACAAAACTTCAATACCCACATCGCCCAAACGTATGGAACAGCTGATTTTTTTTCGCGTATTCGGGGTTGACTGCATAGTAAAACTTGTTCCATATCATGAGCATCTGAGTATAGAGTAAAAAGATATAACTTATTGATTAAAATAGGTTTGGATCGAAACTGACTATTTGATTTGAAGAAATCGGGTCCGACTTCCTCCTAAGTTTGTTTCCTTTCCTAAGGCCCAAGTCCTTATGCTCAGAAAAAAGAAAATAATCTAATTCTAAAGTTCATAAACGACTTGCATGATTGTTGATGAGCATGTTCATGCTCCGACTCGTACCTACTTAGCCGATTTTCTAGTAGCTGTGACCACAACCTTTTTTGAATGCTGGATCCGCGCTTGCCAGCGGTGGACGAGAATAAGCTGTTATTAATGAATGATGATGTTACATGTTCCAACAAGGTAATACCTAGTGAGTCTGAGTAGGTGTGAGCCTATTGCGATACC